AATAACTTACCTGAAAGAAACATGAGCAGCAGAATGGAGCGATCCATCATCTCTCCATTAATGATCTGGTTCTCCAGCATGCCTGGTTATGACTTATGTAGGAGGATCTCAGATGTTGAGTTTGACATGATATATTTGCATTTCTAAGGGGGAAAAGGATATGGACAAGGTAATGGGCAATGTTTTGCAAAATCCAAAAATGAAAAGAAACATTGGTCAGACAGGTGGCATCATTACTTGGCTTTAAGTATACAGGATGACAATTATTTAAATCATTACGTGCCAATAAACATGACAGTGATAACATTTGACATAGCCTTACTGCATTTTACTGCTGAACTAAAATAATTAGAGAACCTACAAGGCCTGCACGGGCATTAGTAAGTTTGGCTAAAAGTGTCAAGTAGGCCTAACTATTAACCAAAATGAAAATTCTCTTATTTACTCATCCTCATGCTTTCCCAACTTTTTTCTTCAGATGACGCAGCCTCATCTGAAGAAAAAGTAAGATCCTCTGGATGAGGGTCAGTCAGTAAATTATTTGTATTTTTAGGTGGACTTGGATTTTAAATCAACATGTCAAATGTGCCTTGATGGGCCACATATTATGTAAATAACTTAATATTTGTATACACGTCATTATATAAAAATGAATCTGTGAAGAACATGAAGAGATTCAAAGCAGGCGCACGCGGTTACAATCACAGTCACGATATACGACGCGAACAAACAAACGGAATTCACGTCGAAATAAACACTGCATTGTGTAAAAGATTGACGTGTGTTACTCTTTTAAAGATGAATTACTTTTTTCTCAACTTCATTTTTGTTATTCAAACTGAGCCTCATTTTCGATGCAAATTATTGTCAGCGTTCACGCACTTCAGATACGCCATTGAACAACAGGCAAATTAACGGCGAATCTCTCTATACTGCAAAAACCCCAAAAGCAGAAAACTATTATGATGTAGAAACGTTTCTGCCTTTATAGTACAGAAATAATTAGTAGCCTAAATGCAGCTATGCACGTGCTGGACACCTGTATGATGACGTGAACAGTCAGACGAGACGAGTATTTTCCTGTCAGTGGTTTTCCTCGACATCACGAACAACTCCACCTCACAAACTGCTGGGCCAGTGACCAGTCAACCTGATATTGAACGTTTTTCATTTTAAATAATATAAATAAAATAGAATAGGAGCAGTTTGAACACATTATTTTTTATTCAATTGCAAAGTAGTCTTTTACAATCATAAAATAGGCCTATTCCAAAAAAACATTTAGTAAAAGTTGTAGGATGCAACAGGAGAAGCCAATGGGAATGTGTGGAAAGAAAACTGCACTTTGGTAAAAATATATATATTTTTTTAAATAACCCAATTGTCTGAACCCAGCATTTCTTTTTAAATGCAGATGTATCAATTTGATGGTTTAATGCTGAAAACGTTCTTTGAGATTATCACAGTGTATTTGGAATGATGACAGAAACGTGTTGCACAAGAACTTCCATAGGAAATGAAGAAGACTGAGGTGCAAAGGTTAAACAGTTAATCTGTGTAAGCTTATAAAGCTCAGAACCTGTGCATCCATGAGAGTGATGGAGGATATGTACTTACCTAGAAACCTTCACATCAACTCAGCTGTTATCCACTCACATCCTGGCTACAAAAGGGTTTTTAAAAGGATGAGACCTAAAGAAATAGTCTGTCGTGTACTGCAAAAGCCAGTCTCATGCATCAACTTGAAACTATAATAAAGCTTGAATATCCCAAAGTCATCTGAGGTATGTTATTTTCGTTATCAGTTTAAAGAGTTTGTGGGAATTGGTACGTCTGATGGACTCATTTATTATAGGCTAGTTTGATTCAAATTAACTTTTTGGATTACATTACTGACCACCACTGCAGTCACAAATTATGGCTTATAAAAAAAAGTAACAAATCTCAAGCAAATACATAAACTAGGGGTGCACGATTCAGAAAATGTCACGATTCGATTCGATACCGATTTTTTGTCTCAAGATTCGATTCAAAATCGATTTTCGATTCAAAAACGATTCTCGATTCAAAAAACGATTCGCAGTATATAAATGTAGTTTACTTTTTCCTATGTGATTGATTGCAGTAGACACAATTTAAAATAAAATAAAACACAACAAATTAAATGTAGTTTGATATTACTTTATGTCTTCATACAAAAATAAAAACTTTTGCAACTAAAAAGTGCAAAGTGCCAAGCTTTGGCCAGCTTTCAAATACATTTAATTCAAGTTTAAAATAAAACTTAAATAAAAAGCTTTTACATTTAGCTTTAAAGTGCTAGTCAGATCAAACAAACAATTATGCTAAATGTGGTTTAAGGACTACTTCAGCTACCAGGCTGACTGTTGAAATGTGAACTCGACTGGGCACATTGAACTTCCTAAAAATATAAACTAATGTCATACCCTTGCGAAATTATTTTAAATAGATTTTAAAAAGCCACCGCTACTGGTAACATCTATGGTTAGATTGATTTGTTTAGATCTAGTGAAGTCGTTCATGGGCGTAATTTGCGGGTATCTCCAGTTAACTAGCAGAGCATTCATTTAGTTCGCTATTAAATAAGAGATCTGTTGTTTTTGAAATCAAGCTGAGCGCTCGTTGCCGCTGCTATCAGTGTCATGGATACAGTAGCTGTGTCTGAAATCGCTCCCTATCCACTATATAGTGCACTACATCGGGTGTCGGTCATTTTGTAGTGGTGTCCGAATTCTGAGTGAACGACATCATTCCCTACATTCATTCACTACTTTTACCCACAATCCTCTCTGAATTCAAGTGTACATTCGAGACAATTGAGACAATATTATATAGATGAATTGTAAAATTAAATTAAATTATATGTATATAGTTTTTTTTATTAAAATATATTATTTAGGCATTAACACAATTTAATGTGTTTTACTAATGTGTTTTGATAATTTATGGCATTGTTGTTAACTCGTTAAACTGTAAAGGGAGAGATGATTATTGGTGGATGATTTGAAAAATATCCATTATCATCTGTAGGAAGCGTATTCATTCGAATATAATAACGGTCGCCTGAGGGCGCTCGACGACCACGTCATCTGTGAGCGTGAGAGTTACAATTTCAGTCGATGAAACTACAAAGCTGGCACGGAGGTATATACAATTACAAAATAAAGTCATTATGATTGTGATTGTTGTTAATATTATTTTATAAAGTAAGTAACATAAGATAAAAGGAGTTTTATCAGTACGTGTGACGAAGCCTTTTCTGCGACAGCTCCAACTCTCCGACGCACAGTGTAAACTGTACGTTCACACCGCCGCCGACTTGAGCGTCAAAGAAGCTCTGGCCGCCCTGTCAAGGACGCTTGTCAAAAAGTACGGGGAAGCTTGTTGACGCTTTGGACGCTTTGAACGCTCTGACGTGTCAGGGAGAATAGAAGTGTCACAACATAAAATGTAATAAACAGGAAAAAAACTAGCAATACATTAAAGAAACCTTTTATAATGACAGCATTTTTATAACCGGTTTGGTCACATTTGGTCGGGGGAAAAAGAATAGAACTATTATTATTATTATTTGCGGTCAAATCGGTGTCACCGTGAGCAAATGAATTGCATTCCCGCTTTAAAACGAGCGATCGTAAATATTTCAAATAAAAGTTGCGCTCTCACGGTCCCTATAAGCAAACAACGTCATGTCATAAATGATAGGAAACCCAGCAACGGCGATTATTGGCTTCTCTTCCATTTTTCTCGGAACTAATGTTTTGGTAGGAACGAAAGTTTACATCGTGTGTTTCTCCGGAATCAGATATCATATATTCCGATTGGTTGCTGGCGTTTTGCCGCTGCTTGCCGCTGAACCGCGTCACAGCTCATTACCATAAAGTTGAGCTTCTTCAACTTTCTGATTGACGCTCAAGACGCTCAAAACGTGACGTGACGCCGATGGATTTGACGCTCCTTGCAGCTGAGAGAAGCCAGCTTCCATTGAAAATGAATGACTTCCGGCCGCTTTGGAAGCTCAAGTCGGCGGCGGTGAAACGTCAGTGTCCGAATTCACTCACTTCATTTCGTTTACTCCTTGCAGATATAGCGCATTTAAATGCCATACACTATATAGGGATTAGTGAATGAGTGAACGAGTGAGTGTTCTCTGTGGCTCGCGCATTCTTCACTCGGACGCGCGCTTCATATCGCCGGTGTGGTTCCGGTGAAATCTCAAAATAAAATGCACACAAACGTGATGAACATATTGGGTTTTGATGAGAGAGAGAAAAAACTATACGAGTGCGGTTTAGAACCCGTAACCTCTGACACGCTTGGCAAAAGATCTACAGAACTCAAACAATCTGCGGATCGATGCATTTATTCACGGGTTGAGCAGAGAGGCTGCACAGTTTGACCAGCGGGCGGCAAGAACTTGCAATGTAACTATTTATCAGACCGGCCCTCGCGGCCTCGAAACACTACCGGACCACCGGTAAAAGTCCCGACTCAGCCGATTGCCACTCCGCCCAAAGTGCACGCCATAAAATTTTTTAAAAAATATGAATCGATTTTTGAAATTCTCTGAATCGATTCTGAATCGGTAAAGATTGAATCGCGATTCAAATGTGAATCGATTTTTTTGCACACCCCTAACATAAACCCAATGTCAACCCTTACTACCTCACAAACCTTAGTTAATTATTTGCTGGCCATTTCTAGAAAACATTTCCCTTAGGTTGTTCAGTCGAAAAAGTGGGATTTTATTTTAATCATATATAAAGAGAAAAAAAGGAAATAATTAGCCAATATAAAATTCTGTAAGATCAAGTGTAAATATTGAAAAACGGACAACAATTTATACATTTTGTAATATTTTAATTGTAAGAGGATTCGTGGAAAAGAGCAGACTATCTTACATACATTACTGTAGTAAATGGATTACTTTGCAGTGGGTTTCATAACTGAAGATATATTTCCCAGGGACGTCTGGATCCTCCCTTGTGGAGGTACAGGATCTGTTAAACAGCATGAGGAAAACATGGTGGAGACAGACAGAGATTACAAAGGCAGCAGTTCAGACCTAATCAGAATCTGGGCCGAGAGCCAGTGGGTGAGAAGAACAGAAGATCCTGGTTTAACAAATCTGATCTCTTCTTAGGCTCAAATTAGTTAGTCAGGTAATCATAAAAACGTATGTGACCAAAAAGCCCTCAGGAGGAGGAAACAAAGACACAAACAAGAAGCTGACAGACATCTACTCTCCAGCAGTTTCTTATTTCTTCTTTTTCTCTTGTGTGTTGGTGAACCAGGCGTCCAGCAGCTTTTTGCTGTAGTAGATCTGCCAGCCATGTACTTGAACTGAAATAATCAAGACTAAGTACATTATAGACACGGCAGAGAAGCCAAAGATGTACCTATAAGCTTTGCCGTGGCGATAAAGCTGCTGAGCCACAGGAAACATCTCCATCCCTCCATAAAGAATAGGAGCCACACAAAAAAGGCCGGCGCTGATCATTGAGATGACCAGGTAACTGATGTTGTTTTTCGGCAAAGCCATGAAGCTGAAGACTGTAGGTATGATGCTCAAAAGATATGTGTACTCCCATTGGTACGGAGAGGCCACCACTTTATGGGACACCAGGTTCAGCTGGCTGACCACCACCTGTGCTGCTATAAGAAACCAGACCACTGCATGAGCGATGTTCAGCTTCTTGATCTCAGACTTCAGGGCCACACTGGGGGGATTGAGAAGGGGGTCAGTTCAACAGGATCAGGGGAACTTAGCAACTTCAGAGATTAATCCTGTAATAGATTAGTATTTTTTTAAGTAGTTTTAAGGGGTCTTTCCCCATATATGCCTCATCATGTCTTAATTTATTGGATAACGTGTTAATAATCGTACATGTGTATTACCTTTTTGTTATCATAGCACAGTATGTGAACATAGGGATGCATTTTAAATAATTTAAGTACTTGGTCTACGACTACAAGTGGATTATCCCAAGTTCCAAGCAAGGTTCTGTGAAACGCGCTCAATGAAGGACCGTAACGTAGAACATCGCAAGTCCTAAGCGGATGATCACAAAGAATGTGTTGGTGACAGTGGAATGGGAAATAACACGAGGTTATGAGACACAACTTCTTTTAACTTGAGCGCAGTGTTTTTAGAATGCAGTTTCATGTGCGAGACGTGCAAAAAATACTGTACAGTACTACTACTGTAAGTTTGAGATTTCATGTTTGCATGATGGTTACAGGCTGAAAGGTGCTGTTATTATCTTTTTACAAAGATAAAACAACACACACACACTGTATTATTATATACACACACACTTCATTATTTAATCATACTAGCTTCACAGCAGGTTGTTTTTGCTGTTCACACTGCTATATTTACAGCTGTAAACAAGTAAACTAGTAGGTATGTTTCACAAAGATGTCATCTTTAATATTAATGAGTTTGTCTGAATGTTTCATAATTTTTACTTTTAAGTTTTTATTTGGTTCTTTGTTCAATCTCAAACCATTTTTTTATTTTTATTACTAAGATGTCTGAAACTAAATAGAAATGGCGTTCACAAAATAAAAACTAAATTAAAACTAATGAAACTATTAATGAAACTAACTAAAACTAAACTGAAATTTATAGCAAAACTGAAAAATAAACACTTATTTCAAAATGCAAAACTAATGTTCCAAGGTGTACTATAAGCACTACAAATGGATTTTGTAAATATTACAAATGGATTTTCTTCGACTCTTTTTGTTTTTAAGAGTTCAAAAAAGTACTGTACAACAGGAATTACCATACGCGGAAGATTAAAATATTACTACGAATCATATTGTTTACACTTAACACCAATTCACACAATGTACGTACCTCATCTGATAATGTGCCGCCACGCGCTCGCGGTGCTGAAAGTCGCTGCCGTCTGTTCCTGAGGCGCGAGGCCCTGCTCGTGATGCCATGGCAACCCAACACCGTCGACGACAACCTGAGGTAAAGGTAAACTCGGAATTTACCTCACTCACTTCTTCTGTGTGAAAGTCTACATGAGGCAAACACAAATAGCTCACTCGCGTTGCAGTTTGTCAAGCGCACACGTTGCATGTATACACAATTAACGTGTAGCAGCTACATTATAAACCACGAAAAGGCAGAAAAGTTACCCGAGAAACACGAACAGAGGCTGGAGGTTCACAGACTCGTGACACTTTTCCATATTTTCTATAATATGCAAGTAACGTAAATGGTGACCGTGACTCATTCTGCCAAATATATTTTGCGTTTCACGTATACATTTATAGAAGAAAAATAAGTAACTTACATGATAAAAATAGAATTTCACCATGGAATAAACTTAAAATTCTGTACCGCGATAACTGTATACTTTGTCGCTTTTGACTAAATAATTATTTCACAAAGAATGGCACTATGAATGCAATGCAAGTAATGTAACGTAGCCTATATACGCTTCCGTAAATACTTCACTTTACCTTTTTGTCTCATATATTGACTTTAACCAAGCTATAGCTTGTAATGCAAAAGCTACAAATGCTCTTTCTATTTCCGAAAGCGATATCCTAAGTTACTGAGAATCCTGCTTTAGTGAAGTACTAATTGCCTTTTAAAAGTTTAAACTTCTCTGTAACAGTTTATTCATGACTTCACGACCTTGTACTGATCTGTAAAACAGTTTAAGTTGATCCGCATAGTATGATTTATTATTGAATATATTACTGATTGTCAAGGTATTTCTGATTCTAAAACAAAGATCACAACTCTCTGTCACTCAAGCCAACTTCTACTACTGCTTTTGATGACGCTTCCTACAGATACAGTAAGTTACTTGATTTCATACAGAAACCGTTTATTCACAGTCATAATCGGCTTTACAAACAACCAAGACGCGCACTAATATATATCACATTTATGAACACACATAGTATAAAATGCCTACCTTATTTTGAACCAGAAAACAACTTCATATACCCAGACACAGTAGAAACGTGATCAAAGTAGCTCTTCTTCTACATGTGCTTTCGTTTGGACATACTTCAATATCGCCCTCACTGGTGCGGAGTGGGAACCACTAATGATTATGAAAATAGTTTCGAAATTTGCATCTAGAGGATTGATACAAAGGATACACACACTTGGTTATTAAATTATGCATTACATTGGTTAAATCAATTGGGAAAATATTTAAACTTTTGTGTCATTCTAAGCTCTTTGTTGGTCTGTTTGAGGTCTATTTAACCCTCATCCTTCCCTCACGTCCTGGAGCAAATCCTTCCCTCATGCGGGGGTGTTTTTTTTGTCCAGAAAGCTTATTTTATTTCATTTTGATAATATTTTTTCTATTTTTTAATGCAATATTTTTTTGGAGATTTTTATTTATTTTTAAAATTACTAGATTTAATCAACAAATAATAATTAAATAGTAATTTAGTAATTTAAGCACATTCCTCACATTCTTTCAACTTACATTCAAAATAACTCACAATTTCGTGGCTAAACCGAGTAGGGGGAGGCTGCAGACCTGGAGCCGGCAGATATACGCCCTTGGCAGTTTTACGCCCGGCAGTTTTAGGACCCTGTTGTTCCTGATGCGTCCAGTAGAGGGATATACTGCGAAATAACATAATTAAATCGACGCTTACACATTAATAACCCGTCCATAGACTTGACAATTTTGTGTTTTTTGTTAATTTAAATATAAACGTAACAGTGTAGATCTCCACGGATTAAATTTTCTGTAGATATTCAGTTGGGCTTCACTCTCTTCACTCAACCTACAGAAGACTATTTGTTTTTGTGAAATGAAAAATTAAAAATACACATATTTGGATTAACTATTTGTTATGACAGGTGATGCTATGACCTACTGCAGTTATAGGCCAATTCACCGTAGGTTTTTATATACAGGAGACTGAGTGAAATATGTTTTTGTGAATTTATATAAAGTCACATTTAGATATTAACCATATTTAGCCCATTAGACATGCAGACAGTACCGTGTAATAATATGGATCCTCGATGAAATATCTGCTGTACTATTCTATTGGTCATCATACAGCTACAAAACAGTGTCCTACACAGCATTTTATGAAGACAAACACAATTTATCCCTTTTCTAAAATTCCATGGGCCATATAGAAGATATAGACAATATTGTTGTTCACAAAAAAATATTTATTAACACCATTTATGAATTATGATGACTCCCCTATGGTTTGCCACTCTTCTTTAACTGTTTTTTTTCTTTAACTGCTCCCGCTCACTGATGAAACATTAAAAAATGAAACATTAAAAAAGTTAAAAAGGACATCCATGGTGAATTTGACCTTGTCCCTGTGTGTGTGTGTGTGTGTGTGTGTGTGTGTGTGTGTGTGTGTGTGTGTGTGTGTGTGTGTGTGTGTGTGTGTGTGTGTGTGTGTGTGTGTGTGTGTGTGTGTGTGTGTGTGTGTGTGTGTGTGTGTGTGTGTATTTCCTTAAGTAGCTAAAGCAAACACACCTTTATGAGATCCAAGTTAAAGAGAACTTGGTAAAGACAGAGTATGATAAAACCCACATTAAGTGCACATACCCTACATTTGAGTCCAGATCAGTAAGCTATTTTAAGAAAAAAAATGTATATTAAGATATAAATGAGATAATTAGATCATCTCATTTATAAGAAACAACTCAAACCAGAATTCAAACCATATGGGGAAAGGTTTTAATGTGTTTTAACGTATTTGAGTGAGTGTGCAGTTTAACTCTTTACTTAGAGAGAGAGAGAGAGAGATTTACATACCTATTATAAATGTGTCTTTTGTGTGTTCACACCATAGACTGTAAAAAAAATTCACATATTTCCATTATCTACTGTAATATTGCTCTATAAACCATGTGGAGTATGTTTTAATGCAAGGAGTAAACAGAGTCTTACCAGAAGAGGCCAAGCTAAAGACAGGCAACAAAAGAAAATTAAAATTAAAATTAATTTTAAATTGAGTAGAGAAGATAGGGGAAGCTAAACCTACACGTGGTTAGCTAAGTTTAAGCCAGATAGAACAGAAACCTGTCAAAATACATTATAGACCCATCCATTGATATATAAATGAATTGATATCTACCTACCCTAGCTCTATCGAGCTAATCGTTTATAAATAATAAATGTTGCATCATTGCTAAAAAAACAATAACTTTAGCAGATTATTTAACATACAAATGACAGAATCTATTTTTGTCAGATTTTAATTCTAACGATGTTAAACTTGATTATACGGTATTATTACTTTGTCTTCTGGGCAAGTTTCATCTTCATAAAGACAGAACCATTCAAAGTAATCCTGATTCTAGAATATTCTCCTCTGATATAAAGTTCATTTTTTTCTTCCTTTAAGAAAATGTCAGAACCTTTAAACTCAAAGGTTTATAAAACAAATAATATCATTGAGTCTGTTGTAAAGAACCTTACATGTTTTTATATTGACAAAATGTAATATTGCATTGATTTGTGTACCCTAATTCAATCTCTTTTGATGTCCGTTTACCCCCCTTGTTTTTTTGTTAAACAGAAAATTTAATCCGTGCAGATCTACACTATAACGTTTATATTTAAATTAACAAAAAACACAAAATTGTCAAGTCTATGGACGGGTTATTAAGCGTCGATTTAATTATGTTATTTCGCAGTATATCCCTCTACTGGACGCATCAGGAACAACAGGGTCCTAAAACTGCCGGGGCGTAAAACTGTCAGGGGCGTATATCTGCCGGCTCCAGGTCTGCAGCCTCCCCATATAGGCTAAACCTTTTAATTCAGCTCAAAATATCTTACATTGGGTGTCTTTACCGACCTCTTGTGGAAAGAAAAATATAAAACATGAGATTTCATTACTCTAGCCACTAGATGGCCTTATAACTCTATTTGGAGTAGAGGTCTGCACGGGCTTTAAACTGAAGCCCGAACCCGGCCCGTACCCGCGATCATTTAACCCGACCCGACCCGACCCGACAATTACATTTACATATTAAGCCCGAACCCGACCCGAACCCGAGGTCCATTCTGTTTCTCACAGCAATACCATTTTTGCAATATGCTATGTTGTATTTAATGATTGCTTGACATATTAAACAAATACATGTAGGCGCAGCGGCCCTATCAGCAGGCAGCACAGCAGTAAGAGAAAAAACTTACCAAGTAATTTTTTGCTTTATCAGACTCATGGTTTGCTTGTTGTCGTCCGCTGTTTGTATTGTGACTGAAATAGCGCGCGAGAGCGGTAGCACATGCGCAAAACAGTTTTGTGATATAAATGATATGATAAAATAAAACAAATAATTAAAAATATTATATTCATATATCATTATATTTGAGAGAGAGAGCCTGTATGCACATATTGCACATCTGCGGACGTAGCCTATACTTTCTCTCTCGCGCGTGCCGGTCACCACAACACAGCAAGCAGGCAAAGCACACGGCACGCAAACTATATATAGCCTATTTCGTTTTTCTTAGTTAAACCCGAACCCGACCCGAACCCGAGGCTGTTCATTAACATTAACCCGAACCCGACCCGAAACCCGCACATTTTTCGGGACCCGTCGGGCTCGGGTCGGGTAGCAGACCTCTAATTTGGAGCAAATGAGCTGTTCCGCTGAGTCCTGAAGTCATTTTCCTTTAGTATGTATTCATTCAGATACACATGTAGACATTATAAAATAATTTTTTGGTAAAGTTTTAGCATTTTTAGTTAGAATTTTGAGCATTTCTAGGTTTTGCTATGTGTACTGAAGCATTCCTCGCATTCCATTCATTCCTAAGGGGTCAAATTGACTCGCGAGGGAAGGATTTGTTACTTTTTTTAATTTCAACCTCAAAACTCTTCGAATCCATTATATTTGTTTTGTGTGTATTCGTGGTTCAAGTGCGACAGCAGTCCTAGGGTCTTGGACCCCTCCAATGAACACTCAATTGTTTAAAATGACCCAAGGGAAGGATGAGTGTAAGAGACCAGTAAGCACATTTGTTGTGTAGATAAAAAAAGTATAATTTATAATATATATCATTTTTTTATTATAAATTTTTTTGTATCATTTGACATTTCTGAGGTTCCCGGAAACTAACAAACACAGTAGCTCAATGAGAATTAGAGCTATAGGCAAAATTCAGAAATTCGGAATTCAGGTCTCATTTGAAGAGGTCACTCCCCATAGTTTGTTGACATGATTCGTTTTTACTAATCATGACTATATGTTCCCTGATATGTAGAATAGATTTTTGTAACTGATTAAACCTATTTCTCTAAACTAAGTTCAATACAGCCAAACGTTTTTATATATAAATTAACTTTCTAACTTTTTATGTATAATTTTGATATATAAAAAGTATACTAACATGAATTTGTTTGAATTTCATTCCAAACAAGCATGAAATGGAGTAGGAGATTTACTCTTGGACATAAATGCGGTTGTTTGTGCAGTATGTAGCCTACATTACCATAGTGTCTGGCTAAGTGTGTCCTCTGACACAAAATTGCATAAAAGATGGTCAGCATCAAGATTGGAAACAGGGATTCTTTATTTTTTGTGGAATTCCCTAATTACAAATTCACAAAATTTCCATTAATTCATTTTGTAAAAAAAACAACGACAATGACATTAAATCTTTACTCCATGTTTGTTTAACCGTTCAGCACCGTTGTCAAAAATTAAAAACAAATAATAAATTCTTTTTTGTGCCGCACACCATCTCTTTGCACATATACAAATTGAGTCATTCAGTAGTAAAACTAAAAATAAATTACAGAGAGGTTCCTAAGACTGTTTCTGTTTATGTGGCCGTATCCAGTGTTGGGTGTAATTCATTACGAAGTAATTCATTACTGCAATTTAATTACTTTTCCCTTGAAAAAGTACAGTAAGGGATTACTTTTTAATTTACTCTTTAAAAAAAATTTAATTAGAGTTACTTCTGATGTAATACTGTATAGAGTATAGAACAATTCTTTATAAAACAATAGTGGATTTAACATCAAAATTTAACATCTAACGTTAAAATGTATGTTTTTTTATGTAACCTTCTCCTTTTAAATACTATGTTCAGTTCAAGAATCGTTTATGCAATGTTATGTTATTTATTTTAAAGAATTAAAAGAGCAGCTTCGTCTATCCTTGCATTGTTCAACTGGTCAATGTTGTTACTGTATGGGATTTAGAAAGTATTTAGTAACAAGTAATGCAATATTTTTTAGAGAGAGTAATTAGCATAGTAATCTAATTACACTGTTGAAGATATAATTAACAGGCTAATTAATTACTTTGTTAGAGTAACTAACCCAACTCTGGCCTTATCGACTTTTAAATATTGATATACTGTGCTCATTAACAAGCAATACCCTTGAGTTTTATTTTGATAAACAATGATCTGATATACTCAAATCAATAGGGTGTAAAATAACCTAAATGTAAGGGTTCATGACATTTCATGTATTTTACTGATGGTGTTAGTTAATGAGATCATTGAAAAGCAAAATCTTAACAACTTAAACCCTTATGTGCTCACATACTCTCTTGAAGTTAATTGAGATGGCACAATGAGAAACTACTAAGACAGCAGAAAAATAGTGCATATCCAACAATCTGAAAATTCTTCATTATGACAGTCCCAATATCATTTTACACTGATGTGTAGTCAATGTGACCCCATCTATATACAATCAATATACTGTCAAACAATAGGAAATATGCAAATAAATAATGTGACAAAAGTTCTAACAAAGTGCTAACCGTATGGATGAATGAATACCTTAAGATGTTGAAAGACTGTTTATATTATGTAATTATGTGTATGCTTAAAACATGTATTTAACATTTTCTTGTATATTATAAATGAAGTTCCATTGCCACTGTAGCACAATATGCTATAAAACATACCTGACTGAATCTCTATGACTTAATTATCAATTTCTTACATTTTTTCAGATATAAAAAGTGGCTTTGTACTGGTGGCACATGCACAATTTACTTAAGAAAAATGTAGCATTGATTTTATATGGGTGATTTTTTTTTCTCACATATTCACATGGGATATAACAAATACCCAGAGAATGATGAGTGGACATATGGACCAGCATAAAGTCCTGCAGCTTGGTCTGATGGTAACTTAACATGAACAGTGTCTCCAAATTGTAAGGGCAGCACTGCACTCCCTGATGCCTGATCCATGTAACTTTTTTTGTATTCATCATATGTATACATTACTGGCTCATTGTTCCTGTATAAGGCCACCCATACATTGTTTCCTTTGCAATTAACATGGTAGACAAAGTAGTAAATTCCAGGTATTTTGCAAGTGAAGATGCCAGTTTGAGAGTTGTAATTCTGGTTGCCATTATGCAGAATCTTGTTGAAAACAACAGGTTGCCCAACTGGAGGAAATGGGGTTGTCAGCAGAGCTGTAAATGCTGGCATCTCTAGGCCATTCCTACCAATAATGGCTCCTCCAGGCTTTTCTTTCTTGTAACCACCTTTTGCCCCATCTAGCCCAGGACCACTCTCAGGAAGGATTTGCCCGATAAACGGAGCTTGAGCAGGAGGTCCAGGTAGGCCAGGTGGACCAGGAGGACCAGGTCTTCCAGGTTGACCTGGGGGCCCACCCATTCCAGGTATACCAGCAGGACCTATTGGGCCTGGAAGCCCTGGTTTTCCCTCACCTGGCATTCCAGGTTTTCCTGGTGGTCCATATTGCCCTTTTGGGCCTGGTAGACCAGGTGGGCCTATTGGTCCTGTTGGACCCATTAATCCTGGGATTCCCATAGGCCCTGGATGACCTTTCTCTCCTGGAAATCCACCTTCTCCTTTTACACCAGGCTTTCCAGGGGCTCCAGGTAGGCCAGGTAGGCCTTTGTGTCCATTTTCACCTTTAGGTCCTAGGGAACCAGGTAAGCCTCTCGGTCCTAGTTGCCCTAATTCTCCTGGGAATCCTGGCTTGCCTGGATGTCCTAGGGGCCCTGGTTCACCTTTTGGACCCAGTTGTCCCTTAGGTCCTACTGCACCGCCCTCTCCTTTTAGACCAGGGAAACCAATGCCTCCAGGGGGTCCCATGAGACCTGGAGGACCTTGGAGGCCACTTGGCCCTGGCGGTCCAATCATTCCATTAAGGCCACCATGACCCTTTTCACCTTTAGGGCCTTGAGGGCCAGGCAAACCACCATGCCCCTTATCACCTTTAGGGCCAGGATATCCAGGCTTGCCAAACCCAGGCAAGCCTGGGCCCCCAGGTAAACCAGAAAGACCTGGTTCGCCCCTTCCACCTGGGAGACCTGGTTTCCCTGGTAAGCCATCCAAACCAGGTTTGCCAAAGCCTGGTAGTCCCGGTGGTCCTATTTGTCCTCTCTCCCCTGGGACTCCAGCCAATCCTGGTTCTCCAGGTGCACCAGGTTTACCTTGGCCTCCAGGAGCCCCAGGTAGTCCATTCAGTCCTGGCTTGCCAACTCCCGGTAGTCCTACTTGTCCTGGTGGTCCTGGAAGTCCAAAAGGTCCCTTTATACCTGGCAGTCCTGGGAGACCAATCCCATTCTCACCCTTTGGCCCTAGGAGACCAGGGATCCCAGGGAATCCCTTTTGTCCAGGTTCTCCACGAGGACCAGGTTGTCCTGGAAGTCCTTGTCCACCTGGTTTCGCCACACCTGGTAGACCATGTGGCCCTGGAAGACCTGGAGGTCCTGGCATTCCTATCGGCCCTTTACCGCCAAATGGCCCCAACTCACCCTTTGGTCCTGGTAAACCAATACCTCCAGGTTTTCCTGGCAAACCTGGCATTCCTGGCTTTCCAATTCCAGGGAGTCCTGGTGGACCTTGTGGACCAGGTTTGCCTGAAGGTCCTGGGATGACATGACCAGGAAGTCCGGGAGGTCCCTGGGGCCCTGGAGGCCCCTTTAGACCAGTCTCACCAGGTGGACCTTTCTCTCCTCTTGGAATAGTTTCACCTGAAAAGAGTAACCAGTCAGCACTTCAGAAACACTCGCACAGATTATTTGCATTTCTGGATGTTAAAAGGAATGGGTAAATAAGTAAATGAATGTATTTATGTGTTCTTGGATCAAATTATATTCAGTATCAATTGTGTGTATTCAACCTAATGAATGAATACAGTAGAGCTAAAATGAGATTAAACAGAAATTTACTATGAATAAATTGCACAAAAGAGACACCCCCATCTTCCCAGAAAAATAATCTGATGAAAGGTGTTTTCAAGAGGTATACCCATCAAAAAGATTGAAAAATTGCTTTCTGTCAGTTAACATTTGTCAACATTACCTTCACAGTTAATTAAAATTAATTTTTAAAAGTAACAATATTCCATCTAATCTATAAATTAATATATCATTAAAGCTGCACACAAAATTATTATTAAAGTCCCACTCCGATCATATTTTGAGCTATTTTTAAACATTCCCAGTGGTCTTTAAATTATGATTATGCCATTTTTAGCCAAAATCACAAAACCTGTGCCGTTTTCTGGGACTTCGCTTCAGCAGAGCGGCAGTAGCTCATTAGCAATTCGCCTCTGCGTTGTGGGCGGAGCCGTTGGCACGGAGACGACCCTCCCCCTGCCCGTTGCTGAGAGCTCTGTCTCTCCCGCTAGCTTACACCCCCAATACCGGTGGGGCAACAGTATTATATACACGTTAATTATTATTATCTGAAGTTAATCAAAGTTATCACCGATCACCGATTTTTCACTCCAAGACGTCGCGTGTGGAGACGCCCAGTGGAGTTACTACGTCACAACTCCAGTCGATTTTAGCCAGCATTTTAGCGTCTGCTACTGATTCACAGCCATTTGAATGTAGAAATACTCAGAAATACAACTTTGAGCTGATTTTTCTCAAGATATGTCCTCTAACATCAGAAAAATGCCACAAGAACATGTTAACACCTAGAAAAACATTATTTTAATCGGAGTGGGTCTTTAAAGAATTTGCCAAAATACCAACCTTTTCCTACAATGGGTTTACCCATGTGCATGGGTATCTGTGGACGCTCTTTTCCATACTGAGGAAGCAAAGGCATCTCATTTCCATATGGCATGTGTGGCATTTCCTTTCCATGGTAATGGTGTTGGGGTATCCCTTCATTGCCATGTGACAGGAGAGGTAACTGAGGCAGAGGCTGGTGCTGTTGAGGCAGTGGCTTGTGTCCATAAAATGCACCTGCATGGATATGATGTAGCAGACACAAGTGCTCCACCAGTACAAACAAGCGGGCAGAGAGGAGAGGCCCAGCCATGTCCTGTGGAATGGAGAATAGGAGAGAAGGTTAGTAGTCTTGGGAAAACACAAAAAAATCTAGCAGCAAGGGCCCACACCAACGTGTAGTAAAGCACTTCTCTGCCTTAGTCAACCTGTACAAAAGGCCCGCTATGGGTCAAACATGTATATAGTTAATGTGGGAACATTACACCTACGTCCAGTAGGTGGCGGCCTGCCCTTACTCAAGTTCATTGCAAGTATTGCATCAGCCGTAACTCAGACTGCGTTATGAGGAAATGGATAGAAACTCCGGTCAGGTGTGGACTGTTAGTGCTGGAGTACTGAGAATTTACCCTGTTCTAATTATTCCCGAGTGGTTTTAGTTGGTGTGCGTCAATGACAATATGTAAGTGCGCTGTTTATTATTAATGTTAGTTTCTAAAGAAGTTTCTAGTAGTTTCTAGTAGCTAGTTAACATTGTAATATGTGCTGATTCATTGCTGATTCATCCTAATGCTAAGCTAACTATGATTGTTTGTGAAAGACGTCAATAGTATAATTTTTGACTAGCGTTAGTGACTATTCCATTTGATTATTATCACTGTAATAATGTAATTGCTACAATTGATTACTTTATTATGAGAATTGTTGTTCTCTTTCGGTAATATTGTTTGTATATATTCTGCTAATATTGTTCTAATGTCCTAGCTTATGAGCATACTGTTGTGTTAATTTGTGATGATACTATTGCAGTTAGTAATTATTCCTTTTCTCTGTTTATTTAGAACCACACACACACATACACAGAGAACTACAGAATTGCATATTGTTTATATTGCAACCAAAGGAAGAAAACCTTTATGCCATACCGTGCTGTCTGCTGTTTCTATATTCCAACTATTGAAGTAAACCTATGTCAACCTGATTCTGTCTTCCTGAGTCGTGACTGACATCCTGTAGCGAATGCAACATATTACCACCAGATTGAGTAGCAACTAACCCTTTCTAACACAACCATTGGTACTAACTGTATTGCTCATTGCTAAATGATGTTATTGATTCTACAGTGGTTACAGTGTGTCAATATACTCTGTAATATCATCATCAATTTATTGTAGTCATGAAGTTAGTCATGTTGTAGTCATGGAGTGTTTGATATGTATTTATATGTACATCTCTGTGTTAGGGGGCAGCAGAGGGATAGCAAGAGGCAGAGGCAGCAACTGTAGGGGATCTCGGAGCAGCAGTGGGCCCCAGAGGCGTAGTGTGCAGGCCCACCAAGCAGTGGACATGCCCTGGCACTCGCCAACCACAGCCCCAGCTATGGGTACATAGTCCCACTGCCTTGTGGGGCAGCCTATAGAGGCAAAGGCATCAAAAGACCTCAACGTCGGAACAGGCGGAGGATGATGGCTGACTTAAGTGGAGCATCACAACGGCTGGGAAGGCGGATGAAGGCTGCAGCAGTGATGGGTCCCCAGTCGTCTTGGACTTCATGCCACTGGATTCTGACCCAGACCTGCCAAGGACCGTGTGGTGGTTGTCTGTGCACCAGCCTCCACACGTTAAACAACGCCACGCACAGGCGTCTTCCACAAAGGGAATCCACCTTACCAACCTGGATAAAGTCCTATGGCGACCAGCAAGTGGCAACGGGGGCAGGTTTGTGTAGTCTGAAAGCCCCTAGTCATGAGCTGGCACATTAGGCGATGGGTGTAAGAATCAGTTGCTGGGCTCTTGGAACGAGGCAGAAGACCTCTTCGGCAGCTACACTCATGACTAAGCAGTCCTATTTAGGATCCGCTCTGCTTACCCCACATGGGGAAGGGGCTAGAAAAGGTGCCCTAAAAATAGCCTGCCTCATATCTCCCGACTGGATTACCGCGTCCAGAGGGAACACCTCATTTGCGGTCAGAAACAAAAGAAATTTAATTTTGGAGGATGGAATGTGCGCACTCTGATGGACAGCACCTCCAGTGACAGACCTGAGAGACGGACCGCTATCATAGCCAGAGAACTCCAGAGATGCCGGATTGATATAGCTGCTCTCTCCAAAACCCGACTGGCAGGTGAAGGGCAGCTAAAGGAGGAGAAAGGTGGCTACACTTTCTTCTGGAAAGGAAAGCCAGCCGATGAGGCTAGAAACCATGGAGTTGGACTTGCCATCAAAAACCAGCTTGTCAACCACCTCTCCGAACTTCCTGTGGGGATCAGCGAGCGCCTCATGACAATCCGTCTGGTGTTGGCCAACAACCAGACAGCGACAGTAGTGAGCGCCTATGCCCCTACCCTAGACTCCAATGTGGAAGAAAAAGAAGCACTCTACGCCTGCCTGGAAGAAACCCTGTCAAAAATCCCCAGGGAGGACAAGATTATCCTTCTTGGAGACTTTAATGCTAGGGTAGGCCGGGACCAACACCTCTGGAAGGGCACTATTGGCAAGGAGAGCATCGGTAACATCAACTCCAATGGAGTGCTGCTTCTGAGTAAGTGCGCTCAGCACAACCTGGTCATTACCAATACTCTCTATCGACAGAAAAACTAATTTAAGGCATCTTGGAGACACCCTCGCTCCAAGCAATGGCACTTTATTGATTATGTAATCGTAAGGGCCAGGGACCGCGGTAATTTAAACATCACAAGGGCCATGATAGTTTCTGACAACTGCTGGACAGACCACCGCCTCATTCGATCCACAATGTCCATCAAACTTAAAAAAAGGAGGAGGATTCAGAAGAAGCAGACCCGGCGAAGACTGAACCTTGACAGCCTGAATGAAACTACCACCCAGCAACTACTTCAGGACTCTCTCTTCAGCAAGAATTTCCTGATAACATCGAAGATCACTGGGGACTTCTCAAATCCACCATCCATGACTCATGTAAATCCACCCTTGGGTATCAGTCCAGGAAACATCAGGACTGGTTTGATGGAAATGACACAGAGATAGAACAACTTATCTCCAGAAAACGAAAAGCCTTCCGAGCGTGGCAAAATGACATAACATTTGAGGCCAAAAGGGCAGCACACTCCAGAGCTAAGGCTGACGTTCAGAGATTGGTGAGGGAGCTCAAGAACAACTGGTGGACAGAAAAGTCTCTAGAACTCCAGAGACTGGCAGAATCAGGTAACACCAGAGACTTTTTTAGTGCCACTAAGGCTGTCTATGGCCCTACCCATCGTGGTTTAAATCCCCTGCGCACAAAGGATGGACAGACTCTTTTGAAAGACAATGACTCCATCAACGCACGTTGGAAGGAGCACTTTCAAGAACTTTTGAACAGTGACAGCTCAGCCGAACCAGACATCGCCGACCATATCCCACAGAGCCTCATCAGAGAAGACATGGGGGAACCTCCTACCCTGACTGAGGTTCACAATGCCATCAGAAGTCTCAGGAATAACAAGGCCACTGGTCCTGATGGAATTCCCGCAGAGATTCTAAAGGAAGGAGGACCAAGGCTCTGGTATCCACCATCTACTCATCAAGGTCTGGGAAAGGGAAGAGCTCCCCTCAGAGCTCCGGGATGCCCAAATTGTTACCATATTCAAGAAAGGGGACAAGGCTGAATGTGGAAACTACAGGGGCATCTCGCTCTTGTCAACAACAGGCAAAGTTCTTGCTCGTGTCCTCGCCAACCGCCTGCTACCACTATCTGAGGGGATACTCCCTGAATCACAGTGCGGTTTCCGTTCATCTTGGGGAACAACTGACATGATCTTTTCTGCTCGCCAACTACAAGAAAAGTGTCGGGAACAAGGACTGCCTCTGTACATGGCCTTTATAGACTTGACAAAGGCCTTTGACTCCGTCGATAGGCAGGCACTGTGGAGCATACTATCAAAGTATGGATGTCATGCCAAATACATCCGTGTGCTAAGGCTATTGCATGACGGCATGTCAGCCACAGTGCTCAATGGTGGCTCTGAATCTGAGCCATTTACTGTAGAAACTGGGGTAAAACAGGGATGTATCATTGCACCCACCCTATTTGCCATCTTCATTACAGTCATCCTTCACCTTTCTGGACATGAGTTGCCACAGGGGATTCCAATCCTTTATAGGACTGACGGCAAGCTCTTCAACCTCAACAGGTTTAAAGCCAAAAGTAAAGTCAGGAATACCACCATCATGGAGCTGCAATACGCCGATGATAACACCATTGCAGCACACTCCCCTGAAGACCTCCAGGGCATTCTAAATGCCTTTGCCAAGGCATACAGAGCCCTGGGTTTGGCCTTGAACATCAATAAAACTCATGTTCTGTATCAACCACCACCTAACCAACCATCACTACATTATCAAAGTGGATAACACCACTCTGGAAAACGTGGACCACTTTACCTACCTTGGCAGCATTCTCTCCTCCAAAGCTGATATAGACTGTGAAGTTAAACATCGCCTGAGCTGTGCCAGCGGAGCCTATGCCAAACTTAGGACAAGAGTCTTTGATGACCAAGACCTGAGGGCTCAAACCAAGGTCCTGGTTTACAGAGCTGTGATTCTCCCAACTTTGCTGTATGGAGCGGAATCCTGGACAACCTACAGCAGACATCTGAGAGCACTAGAAATATTCCATCAAAGAGCCTTAATAAAAATCTTGAGGATCAACTGGGAAGACAAACGTACAAACTCCAGTATTCTGGAAGAAACGAATATGCCCAGCATCACTACTACCATAATGCAGCACCAACTCCGATGGACAGGACATTTCATCCGCATGCACAACAACCGTCTCCCAAAGCAGATCCTGTACTCCCAGCTAAAGGAAGGACAGCGAGCCCCTGGTGGGCCAAAGAAACGCTTTAAGGACAATATTAAGACCAGCCTGAAAAAGTTTAACATCACGTCCGGCGACTGGGAAAATTTTGCGTTAAACAGGGGCTACTGGAGAAAGGCAGTGCTCGAAGGTGCAGCACACCACGAAACAGAACTCCGCCGTGCCGCAGATGCAAAGCGGAAATACCGCAAGGACAAACAGAGAAAGGCTCCACCACTACACAACACCTCAACCTTCCAATGCCAACATTGCAGCAGAATCTGTGGATCACAGATCGGCCTTTACAGCCACCTGAGGATCCACAAAT